AGAAGATACAAGCATCTGTAGAATGCACTCATCAATCCAGCTCAGTGAGATCGTCATCAGTGGTAACAAGACAGGATATCATTCGGGAATCGAAAGAAATTTTGAAAAAAGTTCGAAGACTTCCTCAAAGAGGCAAGCAGCAAAGAGCGCGTTAGCTATGGCGGGAGTCGAAAGCAGAGCCAGGAGGAGGAGAAGCAGGAAAGCGGCGTTTCATGCCGACGCGGAGGGGCACAGGCGAGGCAAAGCAGGTCCGGCGGGGCAGGTAGAGGCGGTCTGCATGACGCTCGGCCAGGGTGTGCTTAGGCGTAAGGACACGAAGGCAAAACCGGGAGGGTGCCGCTTGTCGGGGACGTTACCACTTCCTCCACCTCCTGCTGCTCTTCCTCCAAGTCCAAGTCGGCGAAGAAATCCATGCCGCCCGTCACCCTACTCAACTCTTCGCGGCGCAAAACCGGAACGCACCGTGCTCCGTCCGCTGTCATAACCAATTACCGCATGGTGGTCCGATGAATAGAACCCCCTGCGCTCTGTTCTGATATAGTCGCGGTGCCTAGCTAAGAATAGCAGCCTTCCGATGGAAGCGACCGCTCCTACTCACATGTTCTAAGTAGCAATCCTACGGCCGAAAAAGGACAACCAAAAAAACAGGAAAGAAAAGAGGAAGAAAAGAAGAAAAAAAGAACAACGATAAAAAGGGGAAAGGAAAGGGACGAAAAAACGGTAAAAGGGAACTGAGACTAAAGTAACAAAGGTCTACTCGAGGTCCCATGCATTCAGTATCTGCGTACTAACCCGGCCCTGAATCTCTTGTCACGGTCTGAGAGTGAGTTGCTCCCACAGTCCCTATTTAGCTGATTACATTGCCGGAGGTTGTATTATTCGGGGTCCAAAATACTCATAGGCAGAAGTTAGGTCCGGGCTGTCTTTTATTGTGATTACTATTATTACCTATGCAAACAACGAATGGAGAAAAAAGGAAAAAAAAAAAAAAAAAAAAGAAGAAAGAAAAAAGGAAAAAAAAAAAAAAAAAAAAAAAAAAAAAAAAAAAAAAAAAAAAAAAAAAAAAAAAAAAAAAAAAAAAGAAGAAAAAAGAAAAAAGAAAGGAAAAAGAAAAAACAGGAGAGAGAGAGAGAGAGTGCGCCTGATCGCGGAGTCCCTCAGTGCCGCGGGTTCGGATCTCCAGCTCCCTGTAGTCCATTCTCTTCTCTCACCTGTATGTGTGTGTGTGTGTGTGTGTGGGTGCGTGTGCGCGTTGGGAGAGAGAGAGAGAGAGAGAGAGAGAGAGAGAGAGAGAGAGAGAAATATTTTATTTCATAGAGAGAGAGTGAGAGAGAGAAGGGGGGGAGGAGATTTTGTTTCACAGAGAGAGAGAGAGAGAGAGAGAGAGAGAGAGAGAGAGAGAGAGAGAGAGAGAGATTTGTTTCATTGAGAAAGAGGGAGCAAGGGAGAGATTTTTGTTTCATAGATTTCAAGAACACAAGTCTGATGACTACATCTTCTGTCAAAAGTTTGGGCCATTTCCTCGAAGCATCAAGTCAGTATCAAGAAGTATAGAGGAAGAGTCAAGAAACTATCAAGGAAGTATCAGGTCTGCACTCCATAACACATCTTGTGCTCATCATCTTTATGCAAAGGAAAAGAAAGAAAAATAAGGAAAACTAGGTAGCCTTCTGTCAAAAGATTTTTCTTCCTATTTTTTACTTTTTCAAAGTTTTTCTTTTTATCTTTCATTTTTTTCCAGACCTTTTCTTTCCTTTTGTTTCGCTGTGCCCCTTCTACATGGGCGCAGCGCAAAAGCTAACCGCACCCTAAAACCACACTCTGACAGACTGTTCTGTCAGGTTTTGTCAGGTTTGCAACTACTTGTCTTTCTTTTATTCTTTTTTTCTTTTTTTTTCCCTTATTAGTGCTATGTATATTCAGTGTCTACAACTACTTATTAGGAGAGGAGAGGTTCGTCGATAGCATCCAGAATCAACAGGTTGCAGGGTAGAGGTATTTACTACCATTTTCTCCCGGACATGATGCATTGTATTTTTTTAAGCTGTATTTAGGGCAGTTTTCAGGCTAAATACGCATACAATGCCCACAAACCTAATGACTGGGACAAGAAAGTAGAGCTGAGAGGTGAAGTATAATTAGAATCAACCTGTGACCACAAGACAAAGACTTTATGGTCTGCAAAAGAAAAGAAAAAAAAGAGGAAAAAAAAAAGGAATTTAACGTCTGTCAAAACCACCGCTATGCCAAGAAACACACACTACAGACACCACACACACACACACARAAAAAAACAAAAAAACAAAGGAATTTAACGTCTGCCACAACCAGAAACACACACTCCAGACACCACACACACACACAAAAAAAAAAAAAAAGGAATTTAACGTCTGTCACAACCAGAAACACACACTACACTGACTCCAGACATCACACACACAGAAAAAAAAAAAAAAAAAACACACACACTCTCCACAGACACTACTGGCATGGGAGGCACACGGTCCCGATCAGAGTCATGGTCCTGAGTCTGCATCACTGCCGATCTCAACGTGACCGGGTGCTGTGAACCTTTCCACGGAGCGAGCAAAAAAAGTCCTTTGCAAAGGCAACCGCTACCTCCAAGCCACTTTTTTCCCATGGCGGATTTCTGCTGTGCGCCGAGTCCCAAACCTCATCGTGCTCTTTTTTTTTTTTTTTTTTTTTTTTTTTTTAAGCCTCAAAGAGTGTCCTGGTGGACAACATCGTCGCAATAGTACATACACCCTTGGGAACCGTCGAAAAATAGACCTCAGCTCGAACTTCACTAGAAGCAGACGAGTGAAATACTACAGTAATTCCGAATTACCCTAGGGCCGGACAGTTCAATGACCATATCTCAAGGCTGTTGCCCTTTATGAAAAAAAAAAGAAAAGAAAAGGAAAGCAAGAGAAATGGAGCCGGCACAGGCACGATTTTTGTCTTCTTGCCCAGTGGCGGCAGCAATTTTGGTCCTCCCCCCGCTAGCGCTGTTCATCTGCAAAGTTGAACTGCACGCAAACTCAGTCATTAAACCACCAGTACACCATACATCGGCCCGCCCGCGGGTGTCAGCAAGAAACCTGCACCACTTCGGAGGCCGCCGATTTCTTTTTTTTTCAACGGCGCCCCATGCCGCGCGGGCCCTCTGAGTTTTGCTTGTGGCGACAAAAACTTTCTGCAAGGCCGGGGTCGTGTACTTGCTGTTTAAACCACACCAGTACTTGGCCCAGCTATCGGACGCGGCGCTTCCCCGTTAACGCGCCGTGCCTTTAGGGCTTCGGGGTACCGGACCACGATGGCTCAAAGCGCCAGCCAAAAACAAATTGAAACGGTACCCCGGCGCTTCGGCAAAAATTGGCGCGCAGGGGCATTCCAGGCTCGGCATCAATAGCTGGGCCAGTACTGGTGGTTTAAACCACCAGCACTTTTGACCCTTCCTTTGCCGAGCTTGGAACCGCCCTGCACGCCAGGAAAAAAAAAAAAAAAAAAAAGACAAGCCGGCGCGGGCATGCATTCTTTTGGCTGGAGCCGACAGCCCTTTTGCTCCAGCGCGGTGACCCACCCACGAAACTTGCGGCCACATGCAAGGCTCGCGTCGGAGAAAAATGACTGCCAAACGTCCTGGGCCTAGGTCCCATTAGCAAAGAGGATTGGATTTAGGGGCTCGTTAGACACTCCTTGGGGCGTCCTCGGGGCCCAAGGAACTTTCCTTGGGGGTTTTGAGGGAAATTCCCGCCGTTGTTCCACCTATCCTTGGGGTGGTCTCCCAAGGATGATTCCTTTCGGCCGTCGGCGGCCATTTTCATAATATTATAGTCAGCCGCGGGGGGGCCAATGCCTTGGTCCATTGGGTGATCCGTCTTGCTTAAATTCCCGCCGTCGTTCCACCTATCCTTGGTGGTCTCCCAAGGATGATTCCGTTTGGCCGTCGGCGGCCATTTTCATAATATTATAGTCAGCCGCAGGGAGGGCAATGCCTTGGTCCATTGGGTGATGTCCGTCTTGCTACGGTGTGGTCCAGCTGCCAAAGGCGGGAAATTTTGAAAGGCGCTGGCGACCAGAAAAAAAAAAAAACCTCAAAAAGCAATGGACCTCCCTATTCGAAAATCAAATTTCAAATTGGGTGCTGGACATCACGACGGCGACGTGTGACGCTGGAAACGGGCATTTGCAGCAGCGCAGTGGAGCCCTCGTACGTCGTCATGAATTTGTGAGCACCCTGTGAAGGTCCATCGACATCGCCTCTGCATGCCGCAGCGCCTATGTGTTGAGTCGACCACATGCGGGGAACGTCGTCTGGGACTTGGCGTTGAGGTTACCGTGGTCGTGCCGAGTTGGTAGGCTGTTGTATTTTCGTGGTTCATGAGCATTGCAACACACGTGCCGATGGAGGGCGGCAGCAACAACGAACGTGCGAAGTTGACGACGATCGAGAAGACGGTCTTGGCAGCGGCCGTGACGGCCGTGCTCTTTCGTTGTCAGCAGGAGAGGGCATTGGGCAGAATGGGAGCGCAGATCCGCGCATGGAGGAGGAAGACGCTTCATCAAATCCCGGTAGGGCTGGATACAGTGGCCATCACCGAGGCTACAGTTCAGATTTGTTGTGCCATGGGTTGCAGTGTTCTTCCACTAGCGACGCCGAGGTGGTGGATGAAAAGGAGGACGGGGGGGGCGTGGGAGGATCTCAGGCAATGCACTGATGCGACGAAGGAGTACTTCTGGGAGAAGTTGCGTATGTCGCCACGTGTCTTTCCAGCGTTGGCGATTGCATCCAGTGTGGACAAACGCCCGCAGGATGCGCTGCCGATGTCGATGTCGACTGCAGTCGGTGTCAATCCCTCGTCTTCTCTGCTGGAGGCCTTCGATAGAGGTTGGCCATCAACGATAGAAGAAGGACACGTGGAACAGGAGGACCACAACAAGTAAAATTGTGACTAGGAGCAGCACTGGCAACCTTCAATAGAGGCTGGTCATCAACAGCACATACGACAGGGCCGTAATTCTACGACGACGGTGAAGGTCCTCCGAACGGTGACGATGAAGGGAGCAGACGGACAGCATACGACACACGCACTCTAATGGGTCGTACGCCCTTGCAGAGCGAGTCGGGCCATGGCCTGCGCGGTGGCTTCTGGAGTGGTCCACTGAAGACCTGCTCTTCGCCTGCCGCTCGTCCATGCCGACGTCCTTCTTCGCAGACCGCTTCGTACATGTACGTACAGGCACCCTGTCGAGGATGCAGACGTGGAAGAAGACGACAAGGACAAGCAAAAGGATGACCAGGACCAGCAGCGGCAGCCTTCGAAAGATGTCGCCCATGGAAGGCAAGTGGGGAAGGGAAGTAGCTAGACGACGACAGTACACCTCCAGCAAACAGCGACGAAGAGGGCTGCAAATGGCAGACCGTAGCATGGGACAAACGCCTTGTAACGTTTTTCATCGCGGAATACAGTGGGCAATTGGAGCAAGGGGGGTCGACTGAGGTATTCAAATTTGCC